TGTAGAAATGATATCATCGAAAGCGAATGACGAATCATGGCACTCGACTCTTATCTTATCTATACTGCCGTAACGCACTTTCGTTGCATTTGTACGGATTTACACCCTAGTTGCACCTAAAGAAGTTTTACTTAAAAATATTTGATTAGTTTGTATTTTGTAGTTCTTTATTTCTAATTCAATTTACGAAGTAATTTGAAATAAAATAAAAAATCCTTTATCACTTATGCGTTTTTTTATAAAAGAAAAGAAAGAAAATTGGTGATACATGTATTAGGACGTTGGTGAAGCTTGGAGTTTAAAATGAGAAAGAAAATGTTTTTTTTTGTTGCTTACTTGAAAGGTTCCCTGACATAATCCTGATAGGATTTCTGGAACATCTTTCTGCTTCATCGTGCATTCCTAAATCCAAATAGTTTATAGAAGCATTGCCCAGGTCATTGCTGGTCCACTGTCTCTGGTTATTGGTCCCATAATCTTCAAATCGTTCATCCTTGTAGAACTGAAAAATAAACATTTTAGCCCTAAATATTTTTATATATCTCTTGTAAGTTTTACCTTTCCATTGGATACTGCAAAGGATATCCAATACGTACACATCAGCCTGTTTGATTTTCTCGGTTTGTGGATTAAATCCTTGGAACTCGGGATGATAATTTTTTTTTGGTCGTATAGTAGTGTTAGGTGTTTAGCAATTTCTGCATAATTTTTGGGAATTAGAAAAATGTCCACAAATGCATTTGCGTACCTAAAAGATCTTTCACTATTATATGGCTTAACTATTATTATTATAATTGATATTTAACTTTTTCGATACGATGTCGCCTAAGTTAAATTATTTATGGTTCAATTTGTTTAGAAGTGTAATTTTTAATATTTTTTATGATGATTGCAAAATCTTATAATATTTTAAAAAAGTACTGTTGGCTCTTATAGCAGTGCCACTTCAGCAGAAACCTTTTCAAATATTTTATATATGTAACGGATTAATTAAATTTTATATCTATTAACTCCCCGGAGGAGAAGTTTATGTTCTCATTAAAAAATACGATTCGCTAATTGTATGCTTTCTCGACGTTTCATGCCATTCTGAGTCGAATGACACAAAATTTGGAAAAGTATGTGTTTTGTGTGTGTGTGTATGTGTGTGTGTGTGTGTGTGTGCGTGTAAGTGAACAGATTTTTTATTTTAAACTTACTCTCCCAAATACAAAGCCAAACCAGCAGCCACATTTGTGTATACAGAATTATTGATGTTGAAATGATCCTCATCTGGTCCCATTACATCTAAATACAATACAAAATATATAAAATTTCACATTTTAAGCATAAATGCTAAAACAAATATACACTAAAATTTCAGAAAATAATTTTACTTACAATTTATATCGTATTTTTGAGTCGAAGTATTAAATTCAACCCTGGAGCTCCAAAATTCTGCAATGTCCAACAGCAAATCACACCCGTGATCCTAAAAATATGTTAGAATTTTTTTTAGTGATTGTAATATCAGTAAAATTTCGTTAAAACTACATTGGAGCTTTTACGTGGTAGATACGTAACATGAAAGACACACATGTACTTAATATCTACGTAAACACAACTTGTTGTTTTTGCTATGTTTTAAATTTAGTGTGAAAGAAAAACATTTATTTATTCCTTTAATAAGTAGTTTATTAAATTGGTTAAACAGAGCTGCAAAAATATTCAAACGTAGCTAAAACGAAACAGTTACCACATGATACAAAATGAATACATGTTTGTGTCTTTTCTGTTACGTAACCGCCACGTACAACGTATTATTGATTTCATCTCTATCTTGTGGTTTACTGAACTACATAACTTTAGTATTTTATTTATTTTATTTATTTACTTGTATCCAAGGATCTTCTGGTCCTTAACTGCCAAGTATTGCCTGATGGCAAAAGAAACGTCTGCGGTGATATGATGTTGATATTTGGCAACTTCTGGGCAACAGGTTGTGTTGTTTCGTAGCCTGTAAAGGCACTTTCCCAGGGAAACCTAAAAAAATAGAAAAAAAATATTTTAATTTATTCATCTAATATAAAAAATACAAATATGTATTAAAATTTTGAGTCTCTTAGTCCGAGAGATTTTCTTGAGGAGACAAATATTTATGATTTAAAGAAAATATTATAAAGATTTTTTAATGTAATGAATTGAAAACTTCTGAGTAATTTATTATATTGAAGCTGAATGCACGTCTATAAAGTGACTGTTTTTTTCAATTAGTAGAGTCTTATTTATTAACTAAATAAATTTTTTTATCAACTTAAAATAAATGTTAGAATTTTACTATTTTTTTTACCTAATACCGCGGCAACCGATTTCCGCAGCCAAATCTTTGGCAGCAATTTTTTTTGAAGCTCGATATTGCAGCAAAATTTCAGCTAAATCCGGTCGCAGCAGTAAAATTACTGGGAACATCCAAATTTCTGTATCCCAGAAATTATGACCTAAAAAAATAATTAAGCAGTTAATACATTTTTTTTATACGAAATTAGTGTAGGAATTCTTACCATCTATATAGTAGAACTGCAGTTATTGTATTTGTTGTAACTTTTGAACTGTTGGTGCTAGGTAAATGAAATATTTGGCAAATTTATACAAAATTAAATTATCTATAATATTGTCCAACATTATAACGCCCTAAACCAACTCGGTATACTTCAAAACGGTAACTGAACACAAAAATTAATTTGAACGTGATCAATATCACCCGTAATTTTTTCATATTTTTCATGATATCTCGGCCAAATAAAAACCTTTGCATTTTTGAAACTTTGCACAAATAGTCTTCATAAGTATATTCACAAAATCTAGTACTTATATTTTGGGTTCCGTACCTTCATAATCCAAAACTTCACTTCCTCTCGCCAAACTTCCAGGGCTCAACCCGAAGAACTCCATCGGTTTCTGGTTCGTTCTGGTGGACGGCAGTGAGCTCAAAATGTAATAGAGGCTTCCGTAAACTATTTTAGCCTAAAATAGTAATTGATAAACAAAATATAAACTGTGTAGTGATATTGTATTAAATAATTTATTTATATTTTTGTAAATTACTAGTTTTAAAATCGCCTTCGATTTCGATGCGAGCTTCGTTCCAAGTTTCTTGCCAAGCCTTGATGTGGGTGTCTAGTAAATTTTTTGGCGCCAAATTTAAAACTGAGGAAAAAATTATAATATTAGTGAAATCTATATTTTTCCTTACATATAGCAAACCATGTCCACTATCCATATATCTCATAATTGAGCTTGTGCGGATAAAAAACTAAGTGAAATGCGCTAAGCCCATATGATCTTATGTTTAGGTTTTTATTTTTTACTCGAATTGTTTTTTAATTCACTAACAAATATTGTAGTATTTTACAATCTTGATTAATTGCACCAATTTTTGATGATATTTGCCTACACACTTTAGTACATTTTTTTTTAAGGAGAGTCTTTCAAAGTCGACCGACATGAAAAATTTTGAAGTCATTTTTCAACAAAATGTCTTAATTCTTGAAAACTTGGTGCAAATGTGTCATTATTTCTAACTGTGGTCCTAGAAATGTTATTCACGGTTCAAGCTCCAAAGTTTAAATGAACAAAAATAATAAAAGTCAACACAAATAACCGAAAAATTAGCACAATTTCATCAAAGCTCCCTAGGTTGTACTTAAAAGCCCATAATTCCCAAACTACAATAGAATTTTTTTTTTAATTTGTTTATTTTTCTCATTGACGTTGAGTTCTGGGACCCCTATATATATCATTTCTACAAACCATCCAATATCTCTTTCTCAGCAATATTTCTTTTATTATCCATGCTCTGAACCAAAACGACATCAACGACATCCAACGGTTGGATTTCAACATCCGTGGCATTCACCCAGTACACGCAAACTGGTGTTAAATTTTTCTGGTAGGTTTTGTTCTCGGCTAGGGCAGTCTCGCCGCATTCCCTGTAGATGCCTGTTCTTGTTTTGCCGTTGTTGAAGATGCCGGATTTTGTTGGATCGAAACGTATGTCTTGGCTTGTGGGACCAGGATCGCATTCCATTGGAATGTGTAATGTCCTATTAACTAGAAAAAAAATTAACTGACAGACAGAAAAATATCTTGAAAATTTTATTCTGAGGTTATTTTGTTTGTTTATTACTCTATAGTTATAAATGATTGTACAAAATTCTTCACTAATACGTCTTATGTATAATTTTTGTTCAAAATGTAAAACTTCAGTTTAAAAATGTCTATTTTATGTTTTAATGTGTTAATATGTTCTGTAAGCATAGTTTTGAATTGTTTGGGATTTTTAGAATTGTTTTCTTTGTAGTTGAAGTCGGTTTTATTAAACTTTGTCAAGTTTCACTAATATAAGTTAGGTCGCAGTCTTAACAATTGATTCAAGAAGATTTTTAGGTTTCTATCTAGGATGTTTGTTTGTTCTTGTAAAAATAGTGTTAGAATTTGTGCTAAAAATGCTCAAACTATTGACTAGTTCAATATGTTAGACTATAACATGTCTACTATGATAACAAATACTAAAATCTATAAGTTTTCTCACAAACTTTTGAGATTTTTTTACATTTTTGTTTAAAAAGTACTGCATTATAGATGATTGAGAATTAAATAGTGATTAATTTTTGAAAAATATTTAAAAATAGTTTTAGACATGCTAGAACTTTGTAATTTCGATATGTTATACTTAAATATATCTGCTATGATAAACGATAATAAAATCAATAAATTTTGTCACAAATATTTGAGATAATTGAAATGGAATTCTTATATCGGTACAGAATTATTATTACTTCTATAGTGATTAATTTTTAATAAATCATGTCATGTTAATATTTATCACGTTGAATGCCATGCCTACATAAGTCATAGGAGAAAAAAAGTTTTATTTTATAATAATAAGATTTAAGACTGTCAATCATATATTTTGTCAAGTTTTCTTGACATTTTAGTAACTAAATTACCTAATAAAGTTATCCTGAATTTTTTTTTATATTATTGTGGCGATCAACGTGTTAATTAAGTCAGAGAAAAGCTTATAATTTTCTTACCAATATTTCTAATCCTGATTTGAGTTATCAAAGTCCTTGTATAAAATTTGTGGGCGTAAATAAGTTTTTCATATATATATTCTTTTGTACGTCGTAGTGATCTGTGAATAAAAAAATAAAATAAAATGTGAATATGTGAAAGATGTCAATTTTGAGAAAAAATATATTAATAATAGACATTTCCTTAACATGGTCATTTTCGAATTTCCTTGCTCCCAAGGGCTCAAATGGTTCCAAATTGATAGAAAACAATTCTCTCGAAGTTTGAGCTCTTAATATAAATATTTAGATAGAGCGCACGCCAATTGAAAGTTTCTTATATTTGTTATTAACAAACGTCATTAAGTAAATTCTTGCGCCATCTGTCGTGAAGTCAAGTATTATGACACAAAAGAATATTTATAAACCACTTAACTTTGATAAAATGAATATGCAAAAAAATGATGAATTAAACTAATAAAAATTATTTCTTACTTATAAATTCCTTTCTTAACATCCAACTCATAATGTCCCAAACTCTTCCTTTCCAAATGTCCTCCAAAATTTTCCATCGATGGCCCACACCTTATATGGGCCCTAATTCTGGCCCTATGACTCCTACCACCTTCACCATTATACAAACCGTTCATATAAATTGCATCAGAGGTCAAAGTGTACCCCAAATGGCCATTGGCCTCAGTTGGGAGTAAACGTTCATTTTTTGGCAACCTGGAGAAAAATGGGAAATTGATTTATACGAAATTTAAAATTAAGATATCATATTTTTTGATTTTTTTTTTCATATTTTAAGTGAATTAATTTATCAAATCCAGTTCATATGTGTATCATTCAATCTGCCATACATATACTGTATCTTTATATTATTTTAATTTCTGGCACATCTCAGCTGCTTTTTAATAATGTAGACATTTTATTTTTCTTATTCATACTCATGAATTTATTATACATATTCTAATATTGTCGAGGCTCATAAGTAAATTGAAATTTTTGGCAGATGACAGTTTTCATTTGCTTTTAATGCAAACAATGACATGTCGCTTTTTGCAATTTTTCCATTTATTTCTACAATATTGCACATACATCCCAGTACTTTATATTCACATAAATCCTAGAAAATTTCCTTAACAAACTTCAGAAAGATTTATCAAAATCCGAATAACCGTTCAGAAGGAGTATTACAGTAAGTGCTTGTAATTTAATATAAACTTTATATAATAGCAATAAAGCTCAAATTGATTCTACGTTTTAGTTAGAAAACTTTTGTATGAAAAAGAAAAGGGCTGTTTTTAGGGTTTTCCCGGCAATTATTCGATTTTTTGGACTTCAAGGAACATTTTAAAAAAAGATTTGGCCAAATTGGTCCAGGCGTTGTTGAGTTATGCGCTTACCAACACATTTTGAGATTCATTTTTATATATAAGAAGATAAGATATCAATTAACTATAATTATTAATTATTACTAAGTATTTTATTTTTTTGCTTACTGTGTGGATTTAAAAATATAAGGTTCCGTACCAATGTCGTCAGGTTCAAAAATCCAATCTTCGTACGAAATTTCATCTGGTAATTTGTTTATAACAATTGCACAAAAACATAATTTTACACTAAAAACTAATAATACGTAACTAAATAGTTTGAGCATTGTCTTGCAAAAATAAACAATGGGAATGAATTATTTTTTTCACAAAGCCACAACATTGATAAATTATAATTGTTTTTATTTTTATTAACAAATTGTGTTTTTGTTGTTAATTTTCTTGGAGTGTTTACGTTTCGAACAAATGCGAAGGAACTGCATTATCATAAGAAATTGTCAAGTTTGATTACAAAGTCATTGGTGGTCAAAAAACGGCTCGAGTTATATATATATATATATATATATATATATATATATATATATATATATATATATATATATATATATCAATATGAAAAATACAACACTCAGATTTTTCACATACACTTTATTTAATAATTACAGACGTTTCGAGACCATGGTATGCCTCATCTTCAGTGCAATTTCAAAAACAGTTACTCATATACTACATATTCTTTAATATTTTATTTAAATTATATTTAATTTTTTTAAAAACAAAAAGCACAAACTATCTCTTACAATGCTTGACACAGTACTAAACAGAAATATTTGAAAAAAAAATTTAAGTGTCGAAGATTTTCAATCTATTTACTATCTTCCTATAAAAATGAATTAAAAAAAAAATTAGTAAGAATAGTGAATTTCTGAACTTAGTCTTCAGTTTTTGGTTATTTGCTTACATACTTTTCATACAAAATGTTATATGCAATATAATTTAATGTTTGTTTGCTTTTATTACTTTATAACATTATTTTGTCTTGTTTAAGTAAAAAATGATTCAGGATTTTCAATTAAAATTTTGAAAGCTTAACGGATGTAATATATGTTACTGTTACAATTTCTCTTTTTACTTCTATTTTTTGCATAAAAGATCAAATTAATCTAAATCTAAATTTAAAGATCTACAAAAATTGTACGTTTATCAAATTAATTGTTAAGACTGCGACTCTATATATATTGGTGAAGCCAGACAAAAATTATTGACTAATATATAATAAAGTAAAATATTTGACTACTACATATTGCAGTTTTCAAATATGTAACTATGAAATATTTTTTTTATTATAATATTAAATTAAATATTTCTATATAATTTTACTATCATTGGTTTCCTTTGTTTTTTACAAATGCAACATAACATTTACTTGTATATACATATTTATAAATAATATTTATCTCATTGAACTTGGGAATGTGTCAATACGTCATCAATAGCTTATCGATAGTTTTTTTATCTGAATATATATATATATATATATATATATGTTTAATTTGAGTTTAATAATCGGGCGTAACATCAATAAAAAATCTATTTTATTGATGTTACGCCCGATTATTAAACTCAAATTAAACATATATATCAACATCAAATTCAAGACTATTCAAAAATATATATATATATACATATATATATATATATATATATATATTTATGAATGTTTTTGTGTTTTTCTCCCAAGAAATCCAAAATCTTGACAGAAGTCTGTGACAGACAGGTCGGAAATGGGTTCTTTCACATATGTATAAAAGAACCTGTATATATTTATATATATATATATATTTATATATATATATATATATATATATATATTGTGCAAGGTCAGAAAACCTTCGAAAATAAATATCAGCAACACGAAACTCAATAATTATGTACAAAATCGAAAAAACTTATTTTTAAAGTTCAATCATCTATTTTTTTAATATTTTTCCTGATAAAATAGTCTAACTTAAATTACAAATAATCAGTTTTCTAATTTTGTGTTTTTCTGAACAAATGGATAATAAAACATAGAAAAAAACTCTCTTTAAATTAGTAAAATATTTATATCCTTTCTTTTGTTATTGCCATTAGAAGAATTGATAAAAATAAGGCAACTTTCAGCAAATTATAGGATAAACCTAAATTGATATTAAACAGAATAATATATAATATATAAATTATTTTTAGCATACTGCAACAAATAACGCAAAATCTTTAGAGCAATACATCAAGGTACAAATTGTAGAAATTTACAAAATCTTGCCAATTAAATTGCCATCAAGTGACAAGTGACATTTTGAAAAAAATTTATTTTTAACAAAATGATTGTCAAAATATTGTTTAATACTACTTGATAACTTTCACAAAGCGAACAGGTATCATTTCTTTTGTTCATACTTTTTTTGTACATATGAATGAAAAACGATTCTGCAAAGCGTCTCTGCAACGTATTCGCGATAAAATATTGTAGGAACTTCAAAATTGAATCTATGATTATAATTTTATTATGATCCGTAATCATAGTTTAATTTTGGTTTTTAATTTTGAAATTGTTCGTTTTGACTTTTTATTAAATGCTGCCTTGATTTACCTACATAAATAGTATTGCAACCTTTACAGTTAATTTTGTATACTATTATATTTTGTTTGGTGATGTTAAACTAAGGAACAAGTAACACACATACACACACACATATATATATATATATATATATATATATATATACATATACACATATATCTTTGTATCTATTTATTCATTACAAAAAGTCTTCCAAAATGGGAACAATTAGCGTGCTTTTTGGCATCGAAACTTCATACTCTCTTCTTGTATGTCGTCGTTGTCTAGTGCGAAAATAAATAAATCTTTGTTAAGTAGAACTAGAAGAACAGAAAAGCAACCCCTGAGAGGACACTACCCTCTCAGCCTCCACATATTTTGAAATTGAGCCAAAATTGTTGGAAATTCACTCTTAATAAAATGTCCGATATAAAGGATACATGATAGTAAATAATAAAATTAGAGTAAATGAAGTAACAATTATTTTAAACAAATTGATCAAAGTCAATATTTGTTGTTAGATTTTTTTCTCGTAATTGGATGAAGGGTTATCCTAATTAATTTACAAGTTTCTTGCAAACATCTGAAATCTTGTAGTTAATTTTATACAAAACTAGCAAACCCGACGAACTCCGTTTCGCCACCAGATGGTTTCGTGAGAAAGATGAAGACATTTTTTGTTTGTTTTATATTTGAAAAGGAAAATTTGATTTTATTACAGAACAGTAATGAATTTATTTCGATTACAAAAATGAAGTATTTTTTAATTGAACTTCTCTAAGTAAATAAAAGTGAATCCGCATATTATCCGTTTCATTGAAGTGCTCTTTGGTAAACCACATTTTTTGTTTTTTGGTCTGACCTTAACACAAACAAAGCGGATGGTTTTTCAACTCGTGAACAGGCAACGTATAACTGCACATGTGAAAAACAATGATTTCCTAAATAATCTATTTGAAATTTATCCCGCAAACACTAAGCGATTGGCCTTGCGACTTGTTATTGCGAACGCAAGGCTAACTGGAAATTGCAATCGTTTGAAGTCGGAATCATTGGTATGTCCCCAAATCGCCAGCAATTTTTGATTGAATGGTGAAATTCAGCGCGTGTACATCATTATTCTTTGCGGCAAGAATTGTTCGTTGACTTAACCAAGCATAATTCTGATAATTCTCACTAATGTCATTACTCGAATTTTTAATTACGGTGCGTGAAGTTCCAGCAATTTGCATTGAGGCACGATGCCATGCACAACTAATTTTCTTAGCTATAAACCTTGCGGAGCCCGAGACCTTTCCAACGAATGCAAAATTGGTTCGTGCGTTCTGGAGTTATTTCGTCAGGAAGGAAAACCTGACTTATTTTTATATATATAGAAGATATTTTTCCTATTTTTTAATATAAACCACTAAATCGCATCAACTAAATTAATGCCTATAACTTTATTCTTTCCTCTTATATCATTTTTATGAAATTGATATCCTTTTTATTTTTATAACCAAGCCAGTAAATATTAACTTTAGTTGATGATGTACGAGTACGAGTACGAGTGTGTTATTATATAATATTTGCTCCTATGATAATAGCACTTTGTGATAATCAATTAATTATTAAATGAATCCTCTGGCTAATTGCCATAATCCTTAAATGCATATAGCCAGGATAGATCTTTTAGTATTTGTAATATAAATATACAAATGTATATATACATTTACATGTATGTATATATATATATATATATATATATATATATATGTGTATGTGTATTGGTTGAAAGCAATCAGGATAAGTGGCGCTAATTACTCTGTAAACTGATATAGCTACTTTTGATTATGATGTATATTTTAATATAAAAGAGTTATTAGGGTGGTCTTTGATATGGATATTTTCGAATTTCTTTGCTCCCAGTGGCTCAAATGCTTCTAAAATGATAAAAAAATATTCTTTGAAAATTTTACCTGTTAATATTAACTTTTAGATAGCACGCAATTCAATCAAACTTCGTATACAAATAGCATGAAAAAATTTTGAAAATTGAAAAAAAATGTTTAGGTATAACTTAGCGACAAATTTTGAATAAAACTCATTCATTTGTTCACTAAATTAAAAACATTTTTAAAATTTTTGAAATTTGTTTCATGCTATTTCCATATAAATCTTTGATTGAATTGCGCTTTATCTAAAAGACAGTATTAAGAGCTAAAACTTTCAGAGAATTGTTTTTTATCAATTTGGAACCATTTGAGCACCTGGGAGCATGGAAATTCGAAAATGTCCATATTAAGGACCACCCTAATGTACATAAGTGTGTGTTTTTGTGTTTGTGTGTCGTTTTCATCTCACAGATAATTTCCATGCATCGTTTATACATAAAAACGTCATCCGATCCTTGTATAATAAAATAATGTGCAAACGATATAGCAATTTCCATAATTCGTTTCGGGGGTGTTAATTTAAGCAAAGTGCCCCCTGAAAAAAACACCAAAAATACATATCTATATCTATATATCGTTATTATTCATTGACCTAATTCGTTTGGCCATTCGGGGGTATCTATTTCATAGTAGAAAAATAAATAAAATATATATATATATATATATATATTTATATATATATATATATATATATATATATATATATATTATACAACCAATGAATTTCTTTTGTACGTTTTGCCACTTAATATGTGTCATTATTTTCTGTATATTAACAAAAACATAAAAATTGAGAAATCATATGAGTCTTATCACCAAAATTTTAATAAAAATATTTGTATTGCTTGTACTACTATTTAAATTATAATTATAAACATTATTTATTTCATAATACCATCATATTTTATAATAGTCATTTTTTAATAAACAAATTATTTTTCATCTTGCTTCCAATCAAATCGTTTTATCTAACAATGGTTCTAGTTAGTAACAAAAAAATGAGGAATGATATAAGTCATATCAACATAATTTTAACAAAAATATTTTTTTTTGCTTGCTACAGTTTCAATTTAAATTATAATTATAAAAATTATTCATTTACTTTTTTAATAACATACTCATAAACAGATAAAGCTCCAAAAAAATAATTTCAAACTCACCCTGAAACCACTTAAAATTTACTTGCAATTCACCTTGAAATTGCGTTGAATTTTAAATAAATTTAGTAGAATTTACTGGAATTGACATAGAATATGAACGATAATAAAATCTCTTTAAAATTAGAATATATCTTAAATTATAATATAAATTAAATTAAATATATAATAAAATTGGCATATATTATCCTATCTAATATAATTTGTTTATTTTTTTGCAGATTAATCCACCCAGTATTTCTTCTTGAAGTCCTATCTCGGAAAATGGTAAGTCTTTAGATTTTTTACAAAATAGCTAATAATTTTGCTAAAATGTACATTTTTAATTATTAATTATAAATCGTTACAACCTAAAACTTATTCTACAACTTTACTATATACTGGATATATTTTTTTATTTTTTTATTAAAGAAATCTATATATTGTACATTAGGCAGAAGTTTCAGCAAGATACAAAAATCGACAATCATTTTATTTTTAAATTAATTGTGCTATCCGAAATTTAATTAAACACCGATTATAAGTATAGTCAGATTATTATATTTTAATAGTTATTCGTGATGAATGCTATAGCATCCACGTCAAGATGATACGAAAATATAAGATAATATAATATTATCCAAAGAATCAGTTCCTCATTACCTGGACAGGTATAAAATTACAAAAACGTAAGGTTATATAAAATTAAATTCAAAATTTAATTAATTATTTTCAAAATGGTAAGTCCTTAAATTTTGTACAAAACAGCAAATAATTTTGCTAAAATTAGCAATCATAAGCGAACAACTTATTAAATATAAATCATTACAACATAAAACTTATTTCACAACTTTACTATATACTAGAGAGATTTTTTTATTTATTTATTAAATTTTTTTTTTATTTATTTATTTATTAAATTATATATTGTACATTAGGCAGAAGTTTCAGCAAGGTACAAAAATCGATAATCATTTCATTTTTAAAAAAATTGTGTTATCCAAAATTTAATTAAACACCGTTTATAAGGATAGTCAGATTATCATATTTTAATCGTTATAAGTGATGAATGCTATAGCATCCACGTCAAGATAATACGAAAATGCAAGAATACCCAAAGAATCAGTTACTCATTACCTGGACAGGTATAATAATTACAAAAACCTAAAGTTATATAAAATTGAATTCAAAATTGAAAATTTGAATGCTAAAGCATTCATGGCATTCATTTTCAAAATCAGCAAATAATTTTGCTAAAATTAGTAATCATAAGCAAAACAACTTATTAAATAAAAATCATTACAACAAAAAACTTATTTTACAACTTTACTATAACCGGAAATATTTTTTTTATTTATTTATTAAATTTTTTTTTATTTATTTATTAAATTATATATTGTATATTAGGCAGAAGTTTCAGCAAGGTCAAAAATGGACAAAATATTATTTTTAAATTAATTGTGCTCTCCGAAATTAAATTGAACACCGTTTATTATACTTTAATCGTCAAATTATTATATTTTAATCTTTATACATGATGAATGCTATAGCATCCACGTCAAGTGTTGCGCTTGTATTTTACGCCAAAAATACCCAAAGAATTACTTAGACATTACCTGGACAGGTAATAATTACAAAAACGTAAGGTTATATAAAATTAAATTCAAACTTTTAAATTTGAATGCAATAGCATTCACGTCCGCGAACGTGTTAGGATAATTGTATTATTATTGTGTGCAAAAAATATGTATTTTATCTCGGATAAGATTTGAGCTTAAAATATTTTATGAAGACGCATCGTTTGCAATTTCGCGAATTGGCCCAATCAAAAATTGGCAACTCGCCAAATTGTAGCAATCGCCTCTGGAACAAGGAAAAAGCAATTCTCCTCTCATATACCATCATACCCTAACCCTATACTATATATAGAAAAAATAGAAAAAAATTATCAGAAATTTTTACGGCAAAGTGCCACTTACACCTAGCCTAATTTTTCTATTTCAATTAAGTCTTTTACTATATCTCTAAATATTTTTCTCAGTGCCAGCTTTTAAATGTAATACGTGGAAAAGCTGATTTTCCTCCCCAAACTTTTCTTTCATCCCCCAAGTTGAAATGTGTATTTACTCATTTACTACTTCATATTAAGCTTTCATCAAATTCGTTCCATTTCTTTTCATTTGCTTTCTATACGATTCGATCTTTCTACTTTTTTATTTTTTTACTTTCCTTTTACATTTTTTTCTTTTTTTCTATTAGTCGTGTGGGAATTTTCGTTAAAAATATTTTTAGTTCGCGGGAAATAGGAAAATGCGAAAATGTGAAATTGCCGTACATGACGATTCGTTTTATGAGGGAAATGTACAGGGGCGGATTTATAGGAATATAGAAAAATCATAATATAGAATTCTTGTGTCACGATGTTGGCTATAATACTCTTTGAAAATGCTTGACCGATTTTTATGAAGTTCTGTATGACTGATAATAGAACAATACTAATTTTTCATTTCACAAAATCAAAGACTATAGTGCTTGCTTTTTCTCCAACTTTTTTTTCCAATTTTTTATCCTATTTTTTTTTCCCAATTTTTCCCCCTATTTTCCCCCAATTTTTTTTCCCAATTTTTTCCCAATTTTTTCCCATTTTTTCCCATTTTTTTTTCAAATTCTTTTTTCCAAAATTTTTTTCTCCAAAAAAATTAAAGATTATAAATTCCCATGATTTTTCTCCAAAAAAATCAGACTATAAATTTTCATGGCTTTTCCCTAATATTTTTTTTCCAAAATAAATGTTCATGATTTTTCCCGAAAATAAATGTTTATAGTTTTTCCCCAAAATTTTTCTTTTCAAATTTTTTCCCCCAAAAATTTTGAAGTTTTATAATTTGTACTTAAAAAACACATACAATCCTAAATTTTTACTCTCCTGCCAGATTTTTTCCCAATTTTTTTCCCACAAATTTTCTTTTCCAAAAAAATCAAAGACTATAAATTTCGATGGTTTTATCTAAAATTTTTTTTCCCAAAAATTTGAATTTTGAATTTATGTTTTATAATTCGTACTTAAAAAACACATACTTAATAAGAATTATTTTAGCGATTAAATAATTTTCAATGAATGTTTTGACATAATTTTTGTTCAGACCGTTTTTACAAAATTTTACTTCGAAAATCAATTTATTTTTACCAAGGGTTGTCCAACCATAACACTTTTTTCTTAAATTTTGGAGTCAGTTTTCTATATTTCGATTTTTTTTCAATTCGGAATTGAAAAGTACATACTACCCTACATTTTTAAGCCTGCAGATCATAAAATATATATGTTACCAAAACCACTAAAATGGACTTAATTCACATTAATGAAGAATACCAATTTTTTTGAAATCAATATAGTATGTTCACGCCTTCGAAGTCAAAGCATTCGATATGTAAATATAAAAACAAAAGATATCTATAAAATATACTAAGATATTTTAGTAATCCAATAATTTGTCATCCTGTTTCCAGTCAAGTTTTTTTTATCTAATTATTATTCTAGTTTTATAAATAAATAAACTCAACCACTTGATACTCATATATATAATTTTATAAACTGACAATTACCTTTACATTAAAAATTACTCACATAAAATTTATCTTGCGTAACATTTCCCGGACGTCTATAGACACTATTGCTATTGTGAATTTTGAAGTTACATTTAAACGATTTACATTTATATCGGATAACAATTTTTGTTTGTGATATTATTTCCAAAGTCAAGTTTTAAAATGGCAATAGCAAAACATTTCGTTTGCAGGACCTTCTTTACAATACCCAAACTCACAGTTGCATTTATCATGACAATGTCTAAGGCAAGCACTGTTGGCAGTTTCTGCATTCATCTCGCAAATATCTGGGATTGCGATTTCGGTATCCGTCATGAAATACTGAGCTGAAATAAAAGAAATAATATTATAATAAACTAGTGATGTATAGCATCGTGCCTTAAGGCAAAATGCTGGAACTTCCCGTACCGCAATGAAATATTCGAGAAATTTTAAACGTTTTCAAGTATATTAATACAAATACTGTGACTTTCATTATTTTTGCCATCTTGCTATATCTGAGCAAATCAAATGTAAATCATAAATCATAAATCAATTCATCTCCAGAACATTAACAATCGTCATTTCATTTCGAATTTAATTAAAAAAAAAAACAGTTGCCTAATTGCATTTGCAAATAATTCTGTGCGACATTTCACTTATACTGTGCTTAGCTTGGCGGCATTTTCACATTTTTCTATAGTTTTCACAAAATTGGAAAATTTCTCGTTCTTTTATCTTTTTTATCAAAGCCACCCTTCTAAAAATATCGCCAACTTGACCAAAGTTCTCAAAAATAATAGGTATTTTCAAAAGAAGCATTTATTTTTTACTTTTTTCAAATTTTAAATTGTATGAATGTTTTCAATATTCTCAGGAATGTTCAAAAAATTCAAAATCCTCAAACAAAAATAATTTTTCTTTTCTGAGCTTTTAAAAATGTTCTCAAAAATAATAAGTATTTTTTAAAGAAGCATTTTTTTATTTTTTTCAAAATTCAAGTTGTTCGAATGTTCTCAAAATTCTCAAAAATGTTCAAAAAAATATTAAATCCTCAAACAAAAATAATTTTTCTTTTCTGAGCTTTTAAAAATGTTGTCAAAAATAATAAGTATTTTTAAAAGAAGCATTTTTTTATATTTTTTTTCAAATTTCAAATTGTTCGAATGTTTTCAATATTCTCAAGAATGTTCATACAAATTCCAAATCCTCAAACAAAAATAATTTTTCTATTCTGAGGTTTTAAAAATGAACTCAAAAATAATAAGTAATTTTAATAGAAGCATGTTCTTTCAAATTTCAAATAGTTCGCATGTTTTCAAAATTCTCAAGAATGTTCAAAAAATTCTAAATCCTCAAACAAAAATAATATTTTTTTTCTGAACTTTTAAAAATGTTCAATTGAGATACAGTAAATTTCAGCAATTTACCTTGAAGCATTATGCAACTAAATTTGCAACCAAAGGACACGAGCCCTAAATTTTCACCCTTCTACCACAAACCCCAATTTTGGACTAGTCATTCTAGTAATCGAATAATTTTTTATCTCGCGTTCCATCAATGAAAGCTTTTGGTACTGTTATGAAAAAGCTTAAACTGTACTTTAAAAAGTGATTGAATTTTATTAAAGATTGCCCAATTCTGACACTTTTTAAATTTTGGGTCAACTTTATTTTTTTTTTAATTTTTGAAAATCTATCACTCTTCTATTTCATAAAAATTATTTCAGTAGCCGATATATATAGTTCGATAACTAGTAAATTATTTTTGTAAACGTTTTATATTTAATTTCTATAAAAATTTCAACAACTAATATGAACCAGGAATATTTATATATTGCATGCATTGCAGTGGGTAAATCATCAATATAATTTGCATTAGCTGCATCTTTTACTTATATACCACACACATTTTTATACTAAAATTTTCTAGAAGTATTTCTTATGGCTAAAGCTAGTATATATATATATATATATATATATATATATATATATTATAAATATTAAATAAAATCTTACCTCGATAAGTGCTGCTTATGCAATCATAAGGAATTTGACGATTAGTTTTTACCGCTCCAAAAAATGCCAATGATAATAGTAATAATGGTAATAATATAATCTTCATTCTTGTTTAATTAAAGTTGTACTTAAGTATTTATTTAATTATAGTTTTTGTATAAAATGTAATATTTTAGCTACGAATTTGCTTATAAAAATTTTTCGTATCAAAAGTTTTATTATGAAAATGAAATGTGGGAAAACAAATGATTTGACATGGTAATATGATTAGTAAATGTAATTTGAAAATTGTTTTTATTAAAAACAAAGTCACTGAAACAAATATATGTGACAGTGACATTTTTTGCTGTCAAATTAATAATATTACAATATATTAATTTATGGGTGATTTGTTAGTATACCAATTTGCTGTAGGGTAGTCATAAAATGATAAATAAATTTAAATTAATTAGTTTTGTATTAAATTTTTGTAAGTATTTTATCCATTTCGGTCCTGAGTCTTTTATCCAGTTCGGCAAAAGTAAATTTTTTCGTCGTCGGTATTCAATCAAGGAGTCGTTTCTGCGAAAACGTTTTTCGCCGATGAAAAGCCAAAAGTTGTTTGATTCCTTCCTCCTGCTCCTGGTGTGTATGTGAATTGTGTGAATGAAACGTAATCACCTATTTATCCGCAAAAGGAAAGAAATAAAATAAACGACACGGAAGACGGAAAGTAAACTTTTGATTCGGAAAGGAACTGGGAAATTCATAAATAGTATTGTATTGGTAATTAGCTGGATGGGAAATTAATAAATTGATTGAAGAACTTACTTTAAATATGTTGCAATTGCTTCTATAAATTGAGACTGATTTTAACACGTTAATCGCCATATCAGTTATATGTGTCTGATGCTAAAAAGTTCTACATGAGCCATATGAGACATATATGTCTGAAAAATTGACCTGGAAATTTCTTGGCTTGTCGGAAAAAAGGCTATAATATAGAACCATGGCAGTCATATATGTTTTCTTGATACATTTTTAACTTTACATTTTACGTTACCATGGTCTATGTACATTTTTTTTGATATTGTGTCAATTAACTTGCTAAATTATAAACTGAATGTAGAAACTGTTGTGATCTATTTAGATCAAACAAGGATTGACTTTAAATATTAGCCAAATTTTTATTACCACATTTTTTCTCTAATTTTCTTTTTAGTTAGCATTACATTTTGTCCTTGTTTTTTTCTCTCAATACTACCATGTCCTTTGTGCTCAATTTCCAAAAAAAAACAAGTCTTCAGCATTTTTTTCCGTCATAGCCTTTTCAGTCATTCTATTTTCCTTCGATGACATCGTGCAATATGCATTTTTCTTTAAAAGTGCAGTTTCTTTAGACGACGGTAATTTTCCTTCTTAATTTGTCATCTCAGAGACTTTCTTCAGAGTCCATATTTCTAATCCGTAAATGATTATATGAAGGAATTTATCAATTTCTTTAGCAAGTCAAGAAGTTTTCTCTTCAGTAGAGTGCTTTCTTAATGTTTAAGTAACTATTTATTTCGCTTAGTAATAGAGCTAATAGAGACATAATATGGATTGCTCGTCAGAAGAGTCTACTTATAATTTTTAGATGGATTTCCAATGAAATTTGTTGACACTCGTTTTTATTTTTCAATAAATAGATTGTTTTCTTGATAGTGACTCTTTTTATCTTCTTGGTCAATATTTAGTTTGCTCGTCAGTACAATCCTTTTCTTACGATATTGAGATTCAACTTGTTTTTCAGTCGAGTCTACATTTTGATTCCTAAATTGTTATTTAATTAGCTTGTTTGTAGACTCTTTCATTTTCAACTAATTTTGTAGTAAATTTTTCGTATTTTTCATTAACTTTCTCAAGTTTTCGTATTTTTCATTAACTTTCTTCAAGTTATAGTAATCGCAAAAAAAACTAAAATGAAATTTTTCATATATCTTTACATTTCAGAGGTTTCTGAACATTTTGGCATACCTTGGAAAAATTGATGTATGTTTGGATACAATTTTTGTCCACGATTTCGGGCGCACAAATTAACCGATTTAAATAATTCAAAAAACATTCGGTTTTTATTGATAGGAAGACGTGCTGATTAGGTTTTGATAAAGACAGATTTAGCCGTTTCGGAGATATGGGGCAAAAAGTTCCAAAAACGGTTATTCAGTTTTTGACAGAATATAGTACCCGATTTGAATGGTTCAAAAAACATTTCACTTGTATTGACAGAATGAAGAATTGATGAAATTTTTGGTAAGGCAATGTACACATTCTTAAGTGTTTTGAGCGATAAGATCGACTGTGTATATTTTATGAACGATAAAATACATAGTGATTATAATCATCTATTTAAAAATGCATAAAACAATTGTTGTAAATCATTGATCAATTTTTATTGATTACTGATTTATTCCTTCGAATATTTAATTGTGGTACGGAAAGTTCCAGCAATTTGCCTTAACGCACGATGCCAAACACCACTAGTTTTTAGTTACTATTTATTTCACTCGATAATAAGTTCGTCTGTAGTGTCTATTATAACTTCTAGATGGAATTTCAATAAATTTGTTGACAATTTATATTATTTTTTTAATAGATAGATTAAGGCTAAGGTCAAGGTATCGAAATTTAATTTATCAGTAAGAACCCATGTCTCTAATCCGTAAATGAACAGAGTGTTTCATATGGAGCAATTTTTCAGTTTATTTAGCAACTCAAGAAGTTTGTTAGAATTTTTTTATTTTTGAGTTTAAGTTTTTTTATAATATTCTATATTGTTAATTTATTCATTTTAACCCATATAAAGTCCTTGCCACTCGTTGGTATATTCATCTTTTTTATATGTTTGATTTTAGGTTGCTCTTTTATGACTTTATTAACTTCCCGTAGGGTAAGTTATAGTAATCGTCCAAAAATCGAAATCAAAAATTTTTACATTTCTCGACGTTTTGAAGGTTTCTGAACATTTTGGCATACTTCAGAAAAAATGGATGTGTGTGTGTGTGTGTGTGTGTGTGTGTTTTGTATGTCCGCTTTTTTTCGTCCACGTTTTCGGGCGCACGGATCAACCGATTTGAATGGTTTAAAAAACATTCGATTCCTATTGATAGGGAGATGTGCTGATTAGTTTTTGGCAAAGGCAGGTCCAGCCGTTACGGAGATATGGAGCAAAGAGTGCAAAAAATAGAAAGCGAGTTTTTGAGGGAACGGATCAACCGATTTGAATGGTTTAAAAAACATTCGATTCCTATTGATAGGGAGATGAGCTGGTTAGTTTTTGGCAAAGGTTGGCCCAGCGGTTCCGGAAATACAGAGCTAAATGTTAAAAAAATGGCAGTTTTTGAGAGAACTAAGTGTCCGATTTAAATTACCTAAAGAACTTTCTGCTTGTTTCAACAAAATAATTGATTTTGGAAAAAAAATTTTTTGTTTCTAATTTTTTTTTCAAAAATTTTTTTTTGTAATTTTGGATTAAAAATTCAAAAAATCACCCAAGCTAAGCACAGTCTAAGCGCCACTCTGGTACAAATGTTTACCCAAGTGCGTTTAGACTGTTTATGTACTGGGGCACTTTTTCAATTTTGTGAAAATTATTGAAAAATGTGAAAATGCCGCCAAGCTAAGCACAGTATAAGTGAAAATGTCGCACAGAATTATTTGCAAATGCGTTTAGACTGTGACTATGCGGGGGCACTTTTTCAATTTTGTGGAAATTTGGCAACTATTTTTTTTTTTTTTGAAATTTGATTCGAAATGAAATGACGATTGTTAATGTTCTGGAGATGATAAATTGATTTATTTATAATTAACTTTCCGTAGGGTAAGTTATAGTAATCGCACAAAAATCGAAAATGAAAATTTTTATATATCTTTACGTTTCAAAGGTTTCTGAATATATTGGCATACCTTAGAGAAAATTGATGTATGTGTGTGTATGTGTGTGCGTGCATTTGTGTGTGTTCAGATACAAATTTTCGTCGACGATTTCGGGAACCGGGATGAAGCAATTTGAATAATTCAAAAAACATTCGATTCGTATTGATAAGGAGACGTGCTGATTAGTTTTTGTCAAAGGCAGGTCCGTTCCGAAGATATGGGGCAAAAAGGGCCACAAACGGTAACTCAGTTTTTAAGAGAACGGATCGTCCGGTTTGAATAATTCAAAAAACATTTTACTTGCATTATCAAGATGAAGATTTGATCAAATTTTCATGAAAATAGGTCTAGCGGTTTCGGAGATCTAGTAAAAAAAGTAAAAAAAAAATAATATTTGGCGGTCAACAATAATCATTAGACATTAGACATATGCACATCAAATTATCAGATATTTTTCAGAGATTTTAACAATATCAGAGATTTTAACAATAAGTATACATTTTGTTAACATTCCTATGGGTTCCGTAC